TGTGTGTGTGTGTGTGTGTGTGTATAGATGCGATAAATATACATGTCTAAGAGTTTTGAGAATATTTGATTAGCACCTTGTTAATGTTGATGATTCATATAGAACATGTCAGTAATGGCATTTTCCAAGTTGAGTGGAAATTCTTATTCTGTTAACTCGTAGAAGCAGTGTTGAACAGTTGATATCTCATTTTCAGGATAAATCTATCCTAGCACACTAAAAACTTAACCTGGTCAGAGTATTTGACTGGTGAACAGCAGTGATAGCAGCACCATAGCAAAGTCTTGGTCCGACATGGCTCCTGGAGGCAGTGCATATGAAAATGTCTGTGAATCCCACATTGCATTCTCGGATTATGGCATTGTACCTGACAATCCAGAATTTATAAGCTCCCCTTATGGAGAAGTGGCTGCAGTTGTCAGTGGAAGCTTAGGATGCCAACAGATTCTGCTGTGCATGACCTGCTGGAGTGTCCTGTGTGTATGAATCTAATGTACCCTCCAATTCTGCAAGTAAGTTCTGATTGGATTCTTGTGAGCAGCATTCATGTATTTTAATTTTTGTTTCCATTGTTTACCAGTATAGCATAAAGTTCTTTACTGTGGAGCTTATTCTAGGATTTCAGCTGATAGACTTGTGTTGAGTAAATTTTTGTCTCAGCACTTCACAGCATTCACCCTTGTAATATGCAAAAAGCAGGATTGTGAATGGACCAAAACTATTCCACGCTTCAATACACTTTCACAAGTCTATTCTTACCCTTTTGCGGATTTGGCTTTTTATGCTTTGCTCCATATTGTAGGGTGCACAAGCAGAATTATAAGATAGGATATCATAATTTACTCTGTGCTTATATATGACTCTGTTGTAGAATAATCTATTATGTCATACTTGTTGACATTTCTACGATTTTTTTGTTTGTTTAGTGTCCAAATGGCCACACACTCTGCTCAAATTGCAAGTGTAAAGTTCGTTGTTGCCCAGTATGCCGCCGTGAGCTTGGTAACATACGGTGCTTGGCCTTGGAGAAAATTGCAGAGTCACTAGAATTGCCATGCAGATACCAGATTTTTGGTTGTCAAGATATATTCCCTTACCATAGCAGGCTTAGGCATGAGCAGCTTTGCCAATTTCGCCTGTACAACTGCCCTTATGCTGGAGCTGAATGCTCTGTCACTGGTGATATTGAATACCTTGTTGCTCATCTCAAAAATGATCACAATGTTGACATGCATGATGGATGTACCTTCAACCACCGTTATGTCAAATCCAATCCACAAGAAGTTGAAAATGCCACATGGATGTTGACGGTAAGCATTCTCCATCCATTCAAATGTCAAAATTTCTCCGAATTGTTTAGTAGGAACAAACATGAAATTTAGTTTCTCCACTGAAGAATTCCTTTTAGCGTGTTGCACACTGAACTTAATCGATAGGGCATGTTTTGTGATCTCCTGAGTATTCATCTATGTGCCTTAGAGGGCTATTGTTAATTGAAATTACAAGCTAGTCTAACATATTCATGATGTCCCCCCCCCCAACACCACAACCCCCCCCAAAAAAAAAAACCCCAAACAACCCTAGAACACCTTCCAATAAAGGAAATTCATTACATTTTCTCTATAACCGTGCTGCAAACTCCTTGCTGCTTTTTCTGTCCATTTTTTCTCTCAATCTTAATTGGCCCATTGGAAATTTTTTTGGATCATAATCCTGCAGATTCTCTCAGAAGAATCCAAATCTAAAATCTGGAGCTGTATCTTTATCCATTAAAAGAAGAGTTGAAAGAAAACAAGGTTTAGTAGTTATTTTCACAATTGGATATTCTTCTAGTAATTTAGGTTGGTTGCTTAGCTGTTTCAACAATTGCTTATTCCAAAGTATAATCTTTTCTTTGTCTGCTTTGATGGACTTGTGGTCAGAAGGTACAAAAGGTGATGGACAGCAAGGCTTTTGCTAGCTTTTCTGACGTGCCAAAATTTAAACTATTACTGAGAAATGTGCTGGATGTTGCATCCTATAAAATTTGTCCAACAGATGTGCACTTTGGTACATGCAACAATAGCAGTCAATATGGAATGGTGGGTAAAATTTGTTAACACCTGCTGGATGATGTCAATTGACTTTTCTGAATGGCAATCCAAGCATTGCTTTTGCTGTATCCCCTTAAGCCTAAAATGGGGGTTTGGTGCATGAATTCTGGAATTAGGAAAATAAGAAAGAAATGTAGTTAGACAGGAGTAGATATCACGTCATAATATCAAGAACAATAAAATGGAACTAAGACCTGAAAGTTTTAATTGCTCCTGTGTTGTTAGCTTGAACTTTGTAAAGAAAAATATCCTCTAGTGGATAAACCAGATATTTTTATTTTTCTCTATGTCCATCCCTGACAAAGTATAGATGAGAAGGGAGATGCAGCATGACATTTACATTTAATACATAGGTAGAAGTACAAATTCTTACATGGTAAGCAGCCTAGTGGGGCAAGTGACCTTTCCTCTGAATTTTTTATCTGGTACATATTCAGGGGTGGTAAAGTCATTACTGAATAAATTTTGCATTCATGGAACAGCTGCATCTTTTTATTGCAAAAGAGTGAATCATCTCTAGTGAGTGCCTGGTTTGGGGAGTGAATTTGGTAATCAAATCTTATAGTAAGGTAGTGATAACTCTTTGATAGAGGCTTGAAGTACCATAATATGATAATAAAATAGAGTAGACCATAGGAGAGAAGAAAGGAGAAAGTGAGTCTGTGTCTACTTCCTGTCTTGCATGTACTTCTGCTGCAATTCATAGGCAAAAGTACATGGTTTGGTATTCATTTCAGTAGGTTTGAAGTAGCAAAAACAAGCAATTTATTTTTGAGTAAATGAAGTTGTCACATGGAAGAGGGATATGGATTTCTTGTATCTTCTCAGGGAGAGGATCAACATCGACTTTTTCACATGATTTGGTTGTTTGTGTAGAAGTTACTGATTCAGTTGATTTTTGTCCAGGCCTAGTTGACTATATTGAACAGGAATTCTAAAATAAGTAGGATTTTTTGTTTTCTTCTGGTTGGCAGGATGAGTGGCCTACGAATGGGTTGTTTTCCTTACTATCCACATGCATAACTTTTCATGTTCACTTTCTTGCTTAGTAAACAATGTTTTCCAGCGGTTAGTACTGGAACCAATCTTTACCTTCTATAGGCTGTATAGTTATACAGATAATGCTGTTTGAACAATGGAAACTGGAACGTCCAGTGTAAACTACAGCTTGGGCTGGAGATTTGGTTAAGAACTTTTGTTGCTGCCATTTTGCTCTGTTATTGGTCGAAGATAAGCTGGTCAGAATTTTTGACCAAGTAGTCTTGGGAAGATTAAGATATTTTTATTGATCATATTACTTACCTGGTTAAACCTTCTTTTTGTCACATAAAACGCTGGCATGCTTTCTTGGAAATGATGCTTTTGAGTTATTAATACATGAGAGTCGTAGTATGCCTTTGTAAATTTAATCCTCGCAATAGTATTACATACAATCAGAGGAAAAGAAAGAATCAGATGTTTCTACGTCCTACCAAAGTGCATGCCTTTGTAAATTTAATTCCTGCAACAGTACTACGTACAATCAGCGGAAAAGAAAGAATCAGGTGTTTCTGCGTCCTACCAAAGTACACAAGGTTTTCTGGACACATTAGAGGTTTGCCTGTTGATTTTATCAAATGTAAACCCTGTCTTCTTTTCTTGTCTGCGCAGGTTTTTAACTGTTTTGGCCACCAATTCTGCTTGCACTTTGAGGCGTTTCATCTAGGAACAGCTCCAGTTTATATGGCCTTCCTGAGATTCATGGGCACTGATGAAGATGCAGAAAAGTTTTGTTATAGTTTAGAAGTTGGTGGAAAAGGTAGAAAGCTAACATGGCAAGGTGTTCCAAGGAGCATTCGCGACAGTCATATAACAGTTCGAGACGGTATGGATGGACTAATTATTTATAGAAACATGGCACTCTACTTCTCCGGAGGGAATATGAAGGAGCTCAAGCTTAAAGTGTCTGGCCGTATATGGAGAAAAGACATGTAAAAAAAAAAAATTCATGGTAGTGTTATGGTGTCTTCTGTTTCTTTTGGAAAAGAGTTAATGGTGATCTGTGTTAATTTCTAGGATTGGTGGATGAATTTTGCTAGATATGTAGTTTGTATAAAGATAATGGAGGTTCTTGGATAATTTCAGTTTGATAGATTTATTCTACTACAACTTAGAGGTGGCTTTTCCTTGGTATATAAGTTCTAGAGTTTCCTAGCTCGAGGTCTCTGCTGTTTCCACACAAACTCAAACTATTCTACTTGCTTCTTACCTCAATATAACTACTGACTGTTGATTGGTTTAGTAGAGTCTGAAAACAACTACAAATAATCTGGAGGGGTGGTGGTTTGGAGGCCTAATGTTTTCTCTATGGCGGTTTAGATAGGGATGGGTAGAACCTGAAAAGGAAGTAGGGAGAGGAGCTATAATGGATGTACCATTATCTAGGACGAAAAATGACATTGTCAAAATCTATATGCAATCTTAAACAGATTTCACGTTTAATCATTTGAAGAAATTGTATCCAAAGTCAGCATTTTCATGATCAATATGTCAAAACCTACGGTGATTTGTTGTTAAAGCATCTTCATTTACATATATGCATTACAGGCAGCAAGAAGTTCATCCTTCTAATCTTTTAAAAAAAGGACTGGTCTCAGTATTCCTCTGAATCTGAATGTAAACATAAAGAAGTATTCACAATCCTTTTTGATCTAAGACAAGGATTTTCAGATTCACATTTCCCCAGTTCATCTGTTCTTCCTTAATCTCTTGAACCAAACTTCCAACATGGCCCGGACACCGATGCACCTGAATCAATTCAAGAAGGGAGCTCCTCCAAGTTCAAGCAGCTTTCCAAAACCAATTTCTGAAGACAGGGGAGATGATCACCGGAGCACGTCCACCTGACAATGCACAACAATTCCAATTTCAAGAATTTGAGTTTAGGGAATTCCCTTCTTCCATGTTCCATATTTCTTCCCCACCAGCTTTTGTACCCAGTAATTTGAGAACCTCAAGATTAGGTAGGCTTCCTATTGAGGAAATCATACTCCAAGGAAATGCTTCCAGGGTCAACTTTTTTAGATTCATGGGGAAACTGAACCCATAATCCTTATCTTTCACACGGTAAAAAGACAGCTTCAGTGATTCCAGTCGTCTCAGAAAGTCCATTGCCACAATCTTGCTCCAATCCCCACATGCTTCTTCTGTTTCATGGAGACTACATTTCAGTTTGCGGATATGTGGAAACTTCTTCATTATCTTATCCATGCTTTGCCCCAAGTCAAGCTCAAGAGCTGATATAGTGTCTAGGTTACACAAATCTGAGGAGCTGTCCAAGTTGTCTTTGGCCAAACTAAGATCAAAAACTTACCACTTACATGGAGACACCTCAATGTCTGCATATTCCAAACAGTATCTGGGAGAAAAAGTCTACCATGCAAAGATTTTAGAATAAAAGTTTCCAAATTCCAAAGGTTTGCTATTGATGATGGGATGTAATTCATGCTACCTGCAAACGCCAAGTATCTCAATTGAACAAGCAAAGTAATTTCGCCAGGAAAAACAAATCCCAGATTAATTTTTCCCAAATCCAACACTCTCAGAAGTTTGAAGACGCAAAAAATGGATGATACATTGTATGGAGTTCCATATTCCTCGCTCTGGATGGAGACCACCAGAGAGCTTAGAAGAGGACAAAATAGCCTTGACTTCTGAAAATGCCTTGCTTTAGAGTAAATAAACAATCGACGTGTATTACTTGGCTCATCAAACTTAGGAAGTCCTGCATCATCACGTCTCAACTTTAGAAGATTTTCTTCTGTGGCTTTTCTCAAACAAAATTCATGCAACAAGTCATGGATGCGGCAAGTTTTGACTCCACCCGTAGATTTTGGTTTGTCAACCATAACCAAGCTTCTCACAATTAGATCCATTATGTAGTCCTCAGCTGTGTCCTCTAGGCTCTTTACCTCCGTCTTTTGAACAAAGCCTTCAGCAATCCACAACCGCATCAATGTCCAGATTGATATCTCTTGGTCTTCTCGAAATGCTCCAAAATAAAGAAGGTATGGCTTCAAATAATGAGGTACATGTTTATAGCTCAACTCTAATATACTTTGCAATGTTCTGTGCCAGACACAGTGTCCGAACTTAGACTTTCTGCAATTTCTTCCAACCATCTTGCTCTAAATTTGATAAGAATCCCAGCTGTGATAACAACTGTTAGAGGCAACCCTTTACAACCTTTTGCTATATGCTTTCCATGTATTAACAGTGCTGGAGGATTTCCACCTCTTTCTGCAGCTTCTTTTGTAGTAATTCTAAGTACTCATCATCAGTAAGTTGACGAAGATGGAGAGGTTTACTTGCAGGTTTAACTTCCAAAACCAACTTAGAAATTCGACTTGTTAAAAGAATTCTGCTTCCATTGGCATCATTAGGGAATGAAACTTTAACACATTCCAGGCCTCAATGTCCCAAACATCATCCAAAACTAGGAGATACCTGCCCTTTAAACAATGGTAGGTGCTATAGCAAGATCATCAGCATCCATCCTAGAGTATTCATCAGAGTCCAAAGGATCAATGCAAGCCAAAATCTGAAACAACACATCTTTCTTTCCATATACTTGAGAAATACAACACCAAGCACGAATATGGAAGTGGCATATAATCATAGGATCTTGGTAAACTTTATTACCTAAAGTAGTCTTACCCAGTCCAGGCATGCCAACAATAGAAACAACGTCCAACTCTCCTGATCCTCCTGTAAGCTGAAAGATTATTTGTCCTGCCTCATCATGAAATCCCACCACAACTTGATTGGATGTTGGCATAGTCCATTGCAACCAAGAACGGGGTGGAGTTTGCGCTTTCTTTTGAGCTCCACAGGTGAATTCATCATCACCAATCCCCACATATTCCATATTAACAAGATTAACCTCTGCCATGATGGTGCTTACATAATGTCTGTCTCCAACTTCTGCCTCAATAAGCTTAATATTTTTTTGAAAGCAAAGAACACATGATCCATATCCTTGGTTGAGTCCTCTTTCAAATCATGCATAAAAAGTGAGTGGATCACACTTTTAGCTTCACCAACAGCATCTCCAATAATATCCTTCACGTTTTCAGGTAGCTTATCAAAGTTCTCATGCTGGTTTTTAAGAATTGTTCTCAGAATCTCAGTCCCTCATAGACTATATGCATTTGACTGGTTGTAAATCCATTAAGCCGGTATTGCAATTAAGTAGCTCCCAAAAATTATCTAGGAGAGCATCAACAAAATTCCCCAATCTATGCTTATTAGTCTCCTTTGACATAATGCATGATCCTGATGAAAAGCTACTAGGACTTGGATATAAATGTCACGGACTTGAGGATCAAAGGGGTTGATCTTCTGTAATAGTTCTGAAATCTATGTTGCACTTGGACACTAGTTCACCTTTTATGTCAAACCAACACATGGAAAAGAGGTCTGCAATTGATGTGGGATAAGGCAGCTCCCAGTTGCCTTTGCTCAAAACTCGCAACACAGCAAAGCGAATCAAACTTTGGAAGAACCTCAGCTTCTCCTGGAGGTCTTTGCATGGTTCCAGCAGATCTTGGTCATCATATCCAAATATGCAGAGAAGAACATCCACCAGATTCTCGAGCACAGAGTCGATGAGTTCCATCAACTCATGTCCCGTCAGACAATTACTGGTTTGCGACAAACTATTCGAGAAAATGAAGTAAAAATGGTTGATTGTTTGCTTAAAACTTTTGATACTACTTTGAACGCTACGAGTCAAAATAAACAGCCGTTTATTGAATACTCGGTCTGTTTTCTGCTCTATTTGAAGTCTGAGTGCAAGTTTATGGATATCAGCTTCAAGTTTAGACATGAAAGATTCTAGATAGCTTACATGCTCGTTGTTGTCAGAAGTGTTCCATATTCTGGCGCAGAGAAGAAATGTCCTCATGAGTCTATACTCCCGCTTCAGTTGCTCAGATTGATAAACATTTAAATCCCAAAGGCCATCCAGATTTTCCAGAGCATTCAAGACTGAATCTACACAGTTGGAGGAGGTGGAAGTGGAAGAGGCCATCTCTTAGTGGGGTGTTGATTGCTAAGCAGCTATGGAACAACAACGTTCAAATCTTGAACAGCTAAACTAATCGGTTGATGCTAAACTCAAGAATGAAGAAGAATTCTTCTCTGCACCTCAGAAAATCCTTTGGTCAACCTCCTTGTTCAGCTAGAAATGTAATGGTTGAATTTTCACTCAAGTTCGAACTTTGAATCAATGGAGTGGTCTTAGTCGATTGGAGAACTAGCAGCCTTGGTGAAACTGTTGACCGGTCAAATTCATGCGGCATAGAGTTAGGGATGGCAAAATTATGCGCTAACCCAAAAGTCCATCGTATCCAATTCAATCCCATTCGAAAATTAAAATATTTGATTTTTATTATTTGATCGGGTCAAAAGAGAATCATACCCGCTAAATGCAGGACGGGTTAGGGTTACATAATTAAAAATTTGCGGATATCCAATCCATCCGCATATATATATTTTTTATTTTTATACACACACTATAAAATAATAAGTTAGAACTAAATAAGTAATTTATTGAACAAATTGTATTATAAATATGAGAGACTATAGTTTATTTACAAGATTCATTTGTAGAGGCCATAATCTTATATTTTATAGAAAAAAGTTTAATTAATGTGGAACATATATATTAAAAAATTGTGCTACTTATTTCAAACTTTTATTGATTTTGAATTCTTTTAATTTTTTCCTTTATCTTATATTTTCTTCACATGCTTGTTTCTTGGTGGGACACCTTTTTATAGAAAAAAAAATTTTATTAAATCTTAGATGAATGTGTAACATATAAAATTAAATTGGTATAAATCATTTTTTTAAAAAAATTAAATGATAAATGAGGCGGGTCGGATACCCGCTGATATGCAGGGCGAGTAAAGGTCAGAAAAAGATCAGCCAAATGATAAATTGGATAGGTATCCGATCAGTGCTCACCCCTAAATAGAGTGATTGGTCATTTGGTTTAGTTAGGCAATTTGAATGAGCCACTTCAAAGTGGCTTGTCATATTTTGCGACCAATAGTGGGAGGCAAGGTTTGATCCCTGGCCTCCGCCCCACCAACTTTGGTGGTGGCTGGTGGCCACTGAGCTAAGGAACTAATTTGGTTGGATGAGTTGATTTCTCATTTTCTGTGATCGAAAATTGCCAAACACCCAATAAGTTTTCCTACTATTTTAATTAATTTTTTATCTCGCATAAATGTTTTTGGAAGTGGAATCCTAGCATAAACTTTAGTGAAAATAAATCTAAAAAAAATTCCAATAATAAAAATGGAAGATTTGCATAGTCTAGTTCTCTAATAACATACTCTATATAACAATTATTGAGTATAGTTATTTGCTTGCTATGTAGTGATTTTTAGTTATGTCATATCGCCTCTAATCACTTTCTCACAAACTTATTCCCTCTTAAGTCTTAATATGCGATGCTTCGCTTTGTGCCTCAGCGTTTTATCGTATGTTTCAGCTACCCCGAAGTCCCCTCTGTCCAAATTTTAATACCATTTTTGGCTTTGGCGAAGAGGATTACCTGCTCTTGCGAGAAGCTGAATGTCTCCACTGTAGTTTTCCCCATGCCTAATTGAATACTCATGCCATGCTCCCTTGTAATAGTCCAGTACCCCTAATAGCAAGGACCCCCATGTACCTTGTGACCATGGCATGACACTCTGCAAGTGTAAAAGAACACCAGTCCACTTTAGGATTTAAGTTTAGAGTTTAGAGCTCAGGGTTCTATGTCATGATGTCTGGATTCATGGTAACACCATGCCCTTGAATCATGGCATCCATATCGGCCCGGGCAAACCAAAAGTTTAATAACAATTCCCAATGCATTAAGTAGAATTAAGAGGAGAATGATGACACTTAGTCTAGTGACTAAAACTGAGATATCAGGAATTAGAGGTTCTTTGTTCCAATCCCCCGTTCTCTCCCCGTTCTTAAATACCCACCCCTCTCATGCTAGAATTGGAGGAAAAAAATAGGGAGCAAATGATGAAAGCATGAAACAGCCATCATATTGATTTGCCACCATTTCATATCATCTATATGTGCCATCATTTATCCAAAACCAAGGAACTCAGTCACGAACTAAAAGCTACCAACAAAGAAGTCCATCAATACTGCAAACACGTAAGTTCATGAGCACAAGTACTACTTCAGCTAACACTGGAGCATAAACAGCTTTAGCAAATCCAATAGCCAACCATACATCATGATATCTGATATCCAAACATAAGCAATAACATAGCACAATGACATGGTGAATGCAGACAAAATGTCTACCTTGGACCAGGGCCACAGCGCTTGACATCTAATATCCAAGCATAGTACAATAACATGGCACAATAACATAGCACAATGACATCTTCCGTTTCATCCTCTAACAAATCCCCTTCAGCTGCCGCTAGATATGCTTCGACCGCTTGCAAAGCTGTCCGACAATGGAACATGTCATCGGTAGGGGCAGGAGGGGAAGGAATACCAATTGATGGAGACATGCAGGACTCTTTCCTCTTACTGAAGTGGGAGCTAATACTGTCAATTTCAAATGACTGAGTATTTACTTCCCCAGGGCTTGAATTGCCAAACTTCCTTGTACGTTTAGGCATTTTCAACTTCCCCTTATTCATAGCTTTTCCCCTCTTTGGAGCCACAACCTCAACATGATCATCAGTTGAATCTAACTGGATTGCTCTCTTTCCTTTTTGAAGTTTTGCCATCTTATTTTCCAGCTCACGCTCATCATCAGTATAAAGAGGTGCCTGGCCAGATTTCTGACTATACTTCCCTGATGCACCCTGATCATGGAAACCTTGGTCAGCACATGAAATTGCAAACAAACATTAAGCCTCTTGTTCTGATGAAGCAGACTTAACTTACTTTAGTCAACTCATCTTTAAAGGTTTAAGTTTAGGAAAAAAAAAAAAAGGACACAACACTAATAAATTGCAAGGCAAGGCCATTGGGTGTTAACATGAACCAATTAACTCATACAGAAACCAATAGATTTATACCTTGAAGTAATTTGTAATGCAGAGTTTCAAGTCATTTTCGCCCGAAATGGACTGTACACTGTCACAGAGAACGCCAGCTTTTTGTCTGGCTACTGCAAGTATAAAGAAGGCATGATAAGAACCTATAAATCGATTTAACAGGCACAACTAATCATAATCAGCGACATACCCTTCAAGGAGGACCTTGTACAGGGAGGCATGAAAATACGTTACAACAAAACAACATTCAACACGAATAGCCAAATATCTGAGGAAAGGATACGAGGTGTGAGAAAAGGCAGCAATCATGATACTTATGCAATAGCAATGAAATGGAGGCTACATTTCCAAAAGACGGCAGTAAATGCAACAGCACAAGTATGATCAGTCTGGAACAAAATTTTCATTATATGCTAATTCAGAGCAGCTACAATGTCACACAGTAACAGGCAATAGACATGAAACTTCCAATACAAGCCCTCACATAAACTCCCAATTACAAGGCTAATTTCTAAGAAATTCCTGGGAAGTGTTACCATAGAAAAAGGAAAAGAAATTGTTAACTGATTTAATCCGTTTCTTTGGATTATAGGGATAACAGCACATTTTCTGTGTCCTAATTGGTCCGAACAGAGACGAGAAATCTGGCCAAATTAAAACAGAGAGGTCGAAGCTACAATGTTTGCAATTTCAAGACCTATACATTTAAAATAACGTTAATGACTACCGATGATGATCTTCTTTCATTTAAATAGGTTTTTGGAACCTTTTCAGTTCAAATATGTCTGAAATTTTCTATATTTCTGTCTAATTTCTTTCCATAACTTTCCAGAGAAAAAAAAAGTGCATATAAAAGTAGAAAACACAAAACAACATTTTAGCAAAAAAAAAAAAAGAAATTTCATAACGAATCAGTGATCAAAACTTGAACTTCATAAACGTATATTTACTGCAGTGTCTTGACCTAATGTAAGTTTGCCAGTGTCAAGTGAAAAGAGCGAATAATCTACAACTCTAACCATCAAATGATACCACCACGAGATAGGCTAGAAAAATTCTTCCAAACGCAGTTAAGATCTAAGTAGAAATTCCAGAAACCAGTTACATTGCTCGGAAATTTAAAAAGAACAAAAAAAAAAAGAAGGGAAAAAGGAATTGCTTAGAATCAGAGGGAGAAGAGGGACTTCCGAGACCGCACTAAACGGCGGGGACAATTCCAGCAGGTGGATGGCGATTGCCGGCAAATGGCAGCAGCAGCTGTGGAGGAGAAAAAGGAATGGAGTTTCGAAGAAATTCAAATGGAAGAGGAGGAGGTCCAAATCGCATATATAAATCTTCAAACGGTATCGTTTCCTCTATTTATTTACTATTATTTTGTAAATTCACCTGAAAAAAAAAGGCCCCTTATTTTTTGTGCAGAAATAAGTTCATCTGAAATTTTTGTGCGGAAAGTCGATTACATCTTTTTTGGTTTGCTGTTTATTCTATTAGAGGAAACTAGGCCTCCCCAGCCTTTATTTTTCTTTTGGGCGTGGATAGAAGTTCATCCGAAAATTTTGAAATAACTTTCCTTTGTTTGGATTGATGTATATCTATTATCTATCACTATATAAAAATTGTGTGAGTGTAAATAGTGTGAGTGTGAGTGTAAATAAAAATTGATCTTAGTTTTTGTGATATCAATATGGGTCTTGATACTAATAAATGGGCAGATTATATTGTATTTCCCTAATAATAATTAGTAAGAATTATGCTAATAGTTATAAAGAAACCTTCTTTAATCAACTATTTCTAGAGTAGTTGACCATCAAGAAAACTTTAAAGTTCAACTATTCCTGCACTATAAATCTCGAATTTCCTGAAAAAATTTTGTCAGTGGGTGCGTACGCACCCTTCTAGATTGGTGGTGATAGAATCTATCATGTCCAACAATATATATATACTTTGAATTGTGATGATTCTAGTGAATTAAACCGAAAAAAGAACAACTAGTTCATTGCATTTCATCAATAATTAATATCAATTATATGCCAACAATTATAAGAACGAAAAACATTCCCTTCAGTTATAATGAATTAAATTTAAAAAAAAACAAGAACAAATTTTATTTTTAAATTATAAAAAATATGGTCAATCTTAATTGTTAATAGTGGAAGCAAAATAGGATATTAGTTTATATGATACCAAATGCACTCCTGTTTAATAAATGGACAAATTGTTGCATTTCATCATTAATAAATAATATCAAACATGCGGGTGGTTCCAAAAAATGAAAGGTTCCATACTTCTTTATTTACCAAAAGAAAGAAGAACAAATTTTATTTACAAAATCCAAGTTTAAAGAGTACTTCAAACATGAAACAAAACGTAATAAATTGGTACTATGAATCTCTCAAAAAGTATCACGAATCTTTTTATTTCTTGGATACAAATAAACTAAGCCTTTAGAGCACCTTTTTTATATGCGCACAATATTATTGAGTAAAAAAAATTAATTCAAAATATAATAGGAAATGGAGTACTAAGGTAGGCAAAAAGTTTGATGTTGGGAATTTATTTATTTAAATTGCAATAAAGATTATATTTAATAAACTTTATCAATCATATTCTTGTATCAACTATAGTATTAAACTACAATTAATGAATATTATATTCATCAATGCCAATCATAAAAATAATTACAAAGGTGAAACATCCTTTGAATTATGGTCATAAAAATATATCCAGGTTAGTTTGACTATTATATAATAAATAATCTTAACATGTTACAATTTTTAATCATATTAACTCTATAATTATAAAGCATGCCATCAAGGAGAAAGACAAATAAGTTTCACCAAATCAAAACATTTCTCTTCAAAGTTAAGCTATTTAAATTCGAACAATGGAATTTCAATATATTCAGATACTATTATAATTACAATAACATTATAGATCATTTTACAATCCACTGTTAGCAAAATAATAATAATAAGAAAATCTCACTAAAAGTAATAAACAATTCATAGAATGACTTAAAAGGGAGCAACGAATTATTCAAAAATTAAAAGTTTAAATTCAAATGGCATAAAAATGAACATTTAGGTCATCTAAATTTAACCAAAACATTATTCTTGAAACAAAGAATGATTTATTGTTTGTGCATTTGTATTGGTTAAGGCAAACTAAGTTCAGAAAAAGTATAAAATAACATAAGTATTAAAAATCACATTTTTTTTGTCTCAATTACATTTATTCCTTCAAAATAATTGGGGATAAATTTACAAATCTCCCCTTAAAAATTACATATGCCTCCCCTATTTTTACTATTTAGTAACAATGTAGGTCTAACAAACTAAATTTCTCTTAAAAATTCTAAATTGCCCTTCTGTACAAAATTAATAAAGAAAATATAGTGTACTCAATCATTTTTTCCACACTTTGCACAAATCAACAAGTCTAATCCCTAACAACCATCCAAACATAAGTTCTAAAATCAAATAACTCTTCAAAATATTCCAAATTGCATATATAATATCAATACTTGTCACGCAAAAACAAAAAAGAGAGGGAAAAAGACAAGCCCCATTGATAACCAATTTTTTACTCCAAAATTAAATATCAATGCTCAAATACCTTTTCAATACAAGCTAATTTGATTTAAAACCACCATTACAACACTCATATGGTCTTAAAAATATTAATGTCTCAAAAATAGAGAATAAATTCTACCTCCATAATAAAATCATAATAACAAATTCTAATTCAATGAAAGAGATCCTTATGTAATTATTGATATTTTATAAAAGTTTTTTGACAACAAGCAAAATATGACAATTTTCACATATTTAGTTTTTCTTCCTATTTCAATTATCAGTTTCATTATTTATTTCTCTATCATTGCGAGTCTCTTCATTTCTTTCTAATTTGAAACATATTCTGCTCCCTCTGTGATTTTGTAATTTTAATTTACTAATATTAACAAAACTGAAGATAATAAAAATAGTTATAGTAACTAGAAAAGAAAGGAGCGAAAATATTAGACAAGAGACAGAAAAATAGATTATTTCTTAAACTTGAGGGGATTTGAGAGAAATTGTTAGAAACCTCAACAGAGGTTTCTGAAATTATCCCAAATAATTGATTTTCTAAAAATTTTAAAGGAGAAATATCTAAAAGTATCAGGTTCACATGCAAAGCACGTGCTCCATTATTAGTGAGATAAAAAGGTATGCTTGAAAAATGATCATAGAAAACGTAAAAACTTTAATCCAGATAAATATTTATACAATCACCAATTAGTTATTGCGATTACTATTACTACTTTTTATACTGTTATAGATATAAGAGGGCATGGAAATGTAGAAATGCTTTTTCTTGTAACATATCGCTGAGCTATTGACAGGTGCCAAACCTGTGCAATAATAATAATAAAAACCTAAATACCACAAAAAGTCAATAATTAATCCTAGGTACTGGAGCAGGGACTCTAAGTGTGCAATGGGTTACTTGATTCACCATGTTCCCGAAGAGTTTGTTAATCCGATATACCAGAATTAATTAGTTGGCAAAATTACTAAATAGTAGACAGTGGCAAGTAGGGTCATCTCCTCAGGGACTGGGGAGATTTGTCTCTTTTAAATTCCAATTGGTAAGGGGGGATTTCACAGAATGAAGCTAAAAGCAATTACACAATTCAACTAAAACTAAATAATTAACTAGCACGAATATAGCAAGAATTAAATCAAGAATAAATAAATCCTAGCCAAGGATGCAACTATTCAGGCACAGTCCATTTATCCGATCATTGACGCAAGAGAGGTTCACTTAATTTATTAATAGACTAGTTATAGCCATCGAGGAGCTCTAATGACCAATTTTTCCTTAATTTATAGATGACCAAGGTACGACCATTAATCACCCTAACCAAAAAGTATTCCTAGGTAACCGTAGGAATTAATTTTCCAATTGCATTAATAGCAAAAAAACCTAGCCCTAATCAATAACACGTACGAGGGTTATTTAAATTAGATTGCACGTTCCCCTAATGTGTAAACACACCAGTTGCCACTAATATTAATCAATCAAACAATTACGGATTTAACTGACTAAATTGGCACGAGATTAATAAATCACCTTGAATATCGGGCCCTTGAGATCCAAGTAATAAAATAATCCCATGAAAATACAAGCAGGCAACGTGCAAATATTAATAAATTAAGGAACGCGTGAAAACTAATTAGATCTCACAGATTTTCGGGACTGCGCCGTCGAGTTGACCCTTGACTAGATGAAGACTTAGCCACGCCGCATAATTAAATCACCACACGAGTTAATAAATTGCGAAGGCATTGCTTTTTACTAGAAAGTAAGGAATAAAGAATGTTTTTCCCGTTGGAATATTGTCAAACACCTGACGTGCGTCAGAGGCTAGTCCCAGGAAAAAAAGAAAAACTAAAGCTAAACTAAAAGCTAAAACTAAAAAGGTAAACTGAAAGCTCCCCGTCTCCTGTACGCTTGTTCCCTATTTAAAGCCAAAAGAAAGATATCCAGTGGTCTCCACCAATTGGCCACAAGCTGCCGAATTCATCTCCTTGTTTTGAGCCCCTGTGCGGTCCCACCAATTAGCCACAAGCCTCCCAATTACTTCTTAGTTCTCTGGCTCTCTACGTTGCTCTTAAGAGCCAAATGACTAAAGCCCTTGTCCTTTCCTCCGTGGTCCTGCTGAAGTCAAAGGCCCAAGCCTTGAAGTTCTCTCTGCCGCAGTCCCTGATTGTAGTCTTCTTAGTCAACAAAAGTAGAACGGATCCAGTTCTTTTCGGCACTGTAGCTTGCTTGAAGTCTCAATTATCTCAGAAAGACCCTCATGTTTGGTAGTTGTCTGTTCCATTCCTGAAATTGATTCCAAATACCAAATATAGTAAATATCAGCAATTAACACAATAAATGTCGGGTAGAAGGGAAATTAATAATAAAATTACTAACAAATTATACCCTATCAGCTATCAAGGAAAAAGATTTGAAGCCAAGATGTGTAAGATCTATGTCACATTGCTGCTTCGTGGAACAACATTGATGCACAAGGACTAGTTCGCATGAAAGCAATTTTGCAAATAAAATACCATGTAAAATGTCAGTTTGATGAACTTAGGTTGACCTTATATGTTTCCCATTTAATTCTCGTAAAATTGATTTCCATAATTTTATCTTTACAGCGTTCCCTCCACCAACTGGGATCCTTTTTTGAATACAAAATTGTGCCTTAGCAATTCAGTTTTCTAAATTGCTCTCTGATTAACATAAAGTAGAAAGGGCTCATGCTCACTGATTCTTGTGCTCTAGTCCTGTCTTGAGCTTTACAGATACAACGAGCAATGGAAATGTATCATTGGCACAACCGCAGAACACTTGAGAAAAAATATGTTGCCTGTTACAGAGCTAAGATACAACTTCAAGAAGGATGCAAGCACCTATCAGGGTTCAGCTAATCCACATCCTTCTGCTACAAAATACTAGCTACTTTGAACTACAAGCAGTACGGAAGATATGGCAAATTGAGTTCCAAAAGAAGTAAAATAGCACCTCATTTAACATATCTACAAATTGCTGAATCGGTTGGACAGTTTAACAACACCAGACAGACAAGGAAGATCTTAGGCTTTGGCCATCCGAGGCAGGGAGCAAAAGGATTCCATCCTGGATGTTTTCATTTGATCTTGACTGAAACAGGATCTGGTTCAGCAAGGGATCATATTAAAAGTACCAAGGATAGTAAGTAAGAGCTATCAGGGTTAATGTTGATCTTTGAGTGCAAAATCACTGCAAAACACAAAAACTCAAACTTAAGAAACTCAAGACAGCATGTAGTCAAGAATAAAGCCAGCACTTAGTTGCATGACATTTTTTGTTGTATTTGAAACACTAAAATAAGAACTTACCATGAAGAGAGGAGCAAACAACAAGTATAGGTGGCAGAATGAGCTTAATAGCCTTCATCACAGCGGATGAAATAATTGCAGCAAGTAGCAGCAGTCTCGACTAACCACAGCGATATGCTTCAAAACTTGCAGCTTAGACTTGATTGTGTTAGAAGATACTCTTAACAATTCTGTGCAGCTTTACTGCATGAACAGTACATCTTCCGTGCTGCTCCAAAAACATTTTCATTATGAGAAGATTTCTCAAGTTTTGGTTGTAATATGTTCAGAATAAAAGTAGTTAAAAGTCAAATTTGAGTAGTAAAAGAAGAGTAGTATATCTGAACTTACCAGACTCTTAGAACCAGACACCAATTTGATGACCAACAGCTCTGAAAACTCCTCAAATCTTTACTACTAGAAAATCATAACCAAGGAAAAGTGAGACAGAAACCCATCATCTACGAGATTATCGAACAAATCACTAATCAAATGGTTCAAGAAGCTTGATAAATGCGCCTTCAAGAGGTGATTAAACTTTGGAGCAACTATTTACTCCCACTAGAATCATAAGTTAGGGAGCTGATCACTTTAGCAATCACATCTTACATCCACAAAAGCAGATATATAAAATCAACAAACGAAACTCCTAGTGCTTATTTCATATTGATGGTAACTGTAGGAAATCCAAAACAAAAATTAATTAATACCAGCTATAAAAATAATCTAAGTTCATCTAGGGGAGAGACCATAAAATTGCTTGTTAAGTGCAGGCAGAAGGAGTGCAGTAGAAATTGCGGGTTTAAAGTCTTATAGAAAAGGTTTGTAGAATTGCTGCTTGGGGTATCAAATCTAAAATGTCCAAATGCATTTTCAACGGGTGAAACTTCAGAGAGAGCAATCATTTAATCCATATTAAGGTTTTAGTTAATGCATTGGTTATTAAACTGCTTAAAACCCAATATTAAGTAGTGGAAGAGGATGGTTGGTATTATAAATTATCAGACTACCAATCTCACAACCAAGGGCAGTCAGGGTAACTCGATTGACCATTGGATTTATGTAAAGAGATCACAGCTGAAGAAAGTAGAATCCATCATTTAAGAGACATAACAAGAATACCAATAATCAGATAATTTGGAGAAAGATGATAATACATTCCAAGAGGTGGAAGTTCAGAGTAAGCATTTCAATCCTCGTAGAATCTCAAGTTTAAAGAGAATTAGCTCCTTTCAGGAATCATGATATACAACTGGAGGTAGCAGACATATGAGCTGAGCAAAAGTAAATTGCTAGTTCTTATTTAACACAAAATTTTGTACCGTAGATGTAAAGTTTTCAGCTTTGACATGGCTTAACTGTCCACATCAAGTAATCTGCTCTTGAACACCTGTATTCAATAATTGAATTTAATACATGGTTAGCGATATTGTTTTCTTCCTGAAACAGCACTTGTAAAGTTTTCTGAATCAGACTGAAAAAGCCAAGAGAAGCTCAACAAAGCAGACTAATAAAACCTTCAACAAACTAAAGTTCCAAAATTACCAATTTACTTCCATAATCACAGCTTATAAGGTAGTACAATTAACAATTGAGATCTCTAAGTGCAACCTGCAATCAACTTGCTAAATGATAATTCTTCAGTCCTTACTGCTACATTACTAGACAACATCTTGGAAGCAGACGTTTTAAAACTTCAGATATTTTGCAAATAAATCATCTTGCCGTACAATTTTATCGCCTAATATTGGATGGATTTTAAAAAATTTAGTAGTGGTTTCACGGGAGTATGTTGTCCTGGAGAGACAAAAAAACTAGAAATTGACCCTTAAAATCTTTGTCCATCATTGCCTACTTATAATTTTCTGTGTTCCGTCAAACTTTGATTTAACAATCTATTTCATAAATGTAAACACATTATCATTCTTTTCTAGCAAATTGATAACCAAATGAACTTTTAGAGTACTTAGTTGGATGAGGAGGTTTTAGATTGAAAAACTCAAGAAGGCATGTTTGCCTGCTTTAAAATAAAGATAGAAGAGCAAATTCCATGTCATTTTCGAGCTGAGAATCTTACAGAAAGAAAGGGTTTCTTTTTGTTGCCTTTGTTCTAAAACTAATGAGCAGGAAATAAGACTTGATACTAAGTACATCTACTAATCCATTTGAAATAAAATCGCTAACCTTACTGTACTTACTTGAAAATTTGTAAGCTTCTCATTGTCAGTCGGTTTCTCTAAAACAATCTCTATCACCAACCAAACCGCCCATGATCATCAGCAGAAATTCACGGTAATGATGACTCTTGATCTTGAGAGACATTACATAACTTGGGGAAAGAAACTCTGGTGAGCAGTTTATAGAGGCCAGTTGACGAAGATAGAGCATTTTATCAGGTTTTAGACACTAGGAAGAAAGAAAAGTGTGCCTGTACTGTGCCATCCTAATCATATCTGTCCAATTGAAACTGGATTTGATTCAACAAAGTTTTCGAAAGTTACAAGCTGGGCAATTCAATGAGTAAGTAAGAGCAATTGAAGATTTTGGTTGACATTTGAGGCTGAGTCGTGTTTATAATTACAGTAGTTTGGTTCCAACCACAAAGTAATTACAACTCATAAACTGAAAATAATAATGGGCAATTTGTAGCGCATGCAAAGCATTTCACATTGAGGCATTGAGGAACAATAGAGCTGTAGGCTACTAAGGCACAACAGAGATCCACGTTTAACTGCTACCAAAACACCATTTAGTTCTAACTTCTAACTATGAGCAGTATGCCGGAGATGCAAATTGAGTTCTACAACATGTATATCAGCACCTCATTCTCATGACTACACATCACTGGATCCTTTGGACAGTTTAAAAGAACCATACCCAATGGATATCTCAGACTTTGGCCATCTGAGGCACAGAGAAAAAAAGAATGCCATCCGGAAAGGAATTGTAGGACTTTGCAGAAGTAAAGACAGTAAATAAGAGCCATCGATGAGGTTCCCAGTTAAGTTTTGTCCCTAAAATCACTGCAAAGCACAAAAACTCAAACTCAAGATGGCGTTCAAAATAGAATAAAGCTAATGGAAATTTTTAAATAATTACAGGTTTTCTGTCATTGTGACTAAAGCCCCAAAAGGAGAAACTTACCATAAAAAAAGAAGCAACCAACAATCATAAAAGCAGAGAGAGCTTAAAAGCCTCTATCAAGGTGGATTCATTAAGATCATCAAGTCACAACAAGCAGACTTGACTAACTACCAGAATGCTTCAAAACATTGCGCTTAGAGTTGAATGTTGGAAGATACTCCACCAAGTTTTGTGCAACTTCATTGCTCAAACAGTACACACCTTCCTTGGCTACCTCAAAAATATCTTCATGACGACAAGATTTCCTTTGTTTCATACGTAATAGATTAGATATTAAAGTGGTTAGAAGTCAAAATTGAGCAGTGAAAGAAGAGAAGCATATCTAAAATTACCAGAATTTTTAAACCAAAACATGAAAGTGATGACCAACAGCTGCGAAAACTCCTCAATTGACTATTGTCTTCATGGCTAAAAAGCCAAAATCAAGGAGAAGTGAGCCAGAAAACCATCATATATGACTCGGATGGAGCAATTACTAGTCAAATAGTTCAGATAAGTATGCAAGTTCATTATCAAGAGGTAAAAGTTCAGTCCCTTAAAATCACAATTTTAAATAGAGTGAGATGACTTTAGCATTAATAACTTAAAATCCACAGAAGCAGATCACGTAAAATAAACAAAACAAGACTGCTAGTTGTTCGAAACGTTGATAGGCTATTTGTAGGAAATGCAGGCCAAAAGTTATTGAGGTCTAGCCATATAGTTGGTGCTGAAGAAGCTTCAAAATTCTAACCTCTGTTCGTGAAGCTATTCTTCTATCAATCCTACAAAAACAAAGCATAGAACAGAATATGAACAGAGATACAGTAAAACATCAAAGCACGAAACAGAACAGGTGCTTGGGTCATTCTAATTGATAGTTTCAAGAGTATTACTATTATGTTGTAAGGAGTAAATGAAGAGCACCAATATTTTGGACCAAATGCTAATGCCGCAGCTTTGAAAGATAATAAATAGGACGATAAAAAGGGAGAAGAGAAAATTGTGAAAATAACCACGAAAGGGAGACTTTTTTAGGTTTTCTCACGAGAAGGTTAATCAGAGGGGGAGGTGAAGAGAAGGGGAGATTGATTGTAAAGCAAATTAAGAAAGAGGTTATTGAAGGCAATCTTACATGATTGAATTTGATCCAAAGATGAAAGTTGGTTATTAATCAACTTATGTCTAGGTCTTGAATGTGAGAAACTTTGGACCACTGGGAATCGGGGCCGCTGCTCTCAGGAGTGCATCTTTCTTTTAACAGAGGAGAACCATAAACCTCCAGACGTTTTAGTTTGGTGAGACTTCTCATGGCATCCTCAGAGGGTAGATGTCGAAGCTCTTCGAAACCAATTAACCACAGCTCTTCAAGAGCAGCGAAGTTTCCGAACCAATCTGGCAGAGCTTCTACACCTCCAAAGTCACGTAGCAATAGTGACGTGAGAGTGGTCAAGTGTTGGATCTGAGGTGGCAGGGACTCCATGTGTGACAACCCATATAATTCTAATTCACGGAGTGCGGATGACGAAGAGGAGGAGGAGGAGGATATCAATCCAGACCAATCAAACTCATTGTAAATTGAAGAATTTTCATGATCATCTGAGAAGGGACCAATTTCAAGCTCCCTTAAGCTGGTTAGGAAACCAAATCCTTTGGGCGTCATGCTTGTTTTCAGTTTGGGACACCTGTATAATGCCAGCTCCAAAAGAGAGGCGTTCGTTGCAAATCAAGCGGAAAGGAGATAAGATTGCCGCAATCAGTCACCTGAAGCTTCTGGAGAGAGGTACAAGAGTGTAGCATGTCACCGGGCAGATTCGTCAACCCATCGCACTCATCAATCACCAGCTCTTTAAGAGACGTAAAGTTTTGCAGGGGAGGAGTTCTCTGCATCTGTCGCAGCTATAAATCGCAAACGCGCTAACTCGGGGAGTGTTATTGCTGACTCGGGGAGTGTTGTTGTTGGCAAATCCATTAACCATCGAGGAAATTGATCACCCATAAAATTCTTAATTACCAATTCCGCCAAATTTGGGTGCGGTCGAAGGCCATCTAACACATCTTCGTCGTTGTAGTCGTCGCCTTCTCGATCATCTGCCCACTTAAGTACCAACTAAATAGATTTGCCTTTTCAGATAGTTTTGCTTCCTCAGCTCCTTCCTTATCCTTTACTAGTTCCAGATTCCATATCCTCAAACTGCCTTTGAGGTTCTTCAAGCTTCCAAGCTCTCCAATTCGTCGACCCTTCTCTCGACCCACGTTAAATAACTTTAGTGTCTGAAGGCAAGTCAGCCGTCCCATCTCTAGCGGCATTTGAAATTTTTTATCAAAGGTGTGAAAGTGGAGATGTCTCAAGCTAATCAAATCGCACATCCCCTTCGGAAGAACTTTAAGAAAGTGACTATTTAGCCTCAGTGTCTGCAAATTATAAAGTTTGCAAACAGATTCCGGCAAAGTTTCACTTCTAGAACGCTCAAAGTTGATGTACCTCAAGTGTCTCAGTTTGCCAATTGAGATTGGCAGATTCTGATTTTCTTCACCGGACAAATTCAGAACGTGCAGATTCTTCAACTTCATTAGCATATCATCAGATAAGCTACCCTGACTCAGAAACAATGTATGAAGCAAATTTGATCGACTATCAAGAAGATTTATTGTGCCTTCTCCAAATGAGTCTATTACAAGACAGCGAACCTGATTACTATAGTCTCCTGAACCAGTCCCGAATTAATGAATCTAGTAGACTTTGACATTATTGATTTTGCGACGTCGTGCACCATATCATGCATTTTATAATACCTTCCACATCGTCTCTTATTTCTTCAAACAACGAACTCTGCAATAAAATTTCCAAGTAATATTCTCCAATTTCCTCCATTGTTTTGTTCTCGAGACCTGCATGGAGGAAACCTTCTGCCATCCAAAGTTCGATCAGCACATCCCTTCCATCTCAGCATCCTCGGGAAAAATAGAACAATATGCAAAACATTTCTTGACGGCTGGTGATGGCAAATTATCAAAACTCAACTTAAGTATTTGCACCATATGGTCTCCACCTGCACTCAAACTCAAAAGCCTATTCTCCAAAATTGATTGCCACTCGCCACTCCTCTTTTCTCTTTAAACGTAGCAGACCTCCGATTACACTTGCAGCCAATGGTAGACCATCACATCTTTTGATTACTCTCTCTTTAATTGCTCTAGTTCATACGGTACTTCTCCCCCCAACTACTTTTTCTTTTAGGATAGACCAGCAAAGATCATCAGGTAGCCTTCCTAAGGCATAGACTAATTCATTTTCCATCATCAAACTCTAGACACACTATGTGCCACTGGACCTAGACGAGTAGTGACCAAACACCAGCTTCCATTAGTTGGATTGAGCCCCTTCAAGGTGGTGAAAAAGTCATCCCACAATGCCTGATCATCATCCCACACGTCATCAAGAACAGGAAGTATCTTTCCCCCCTAGGTGATTCCGAATTTTTCCAACGATGACATTCCTGTCTTCCACTTCATCCTTTTCTTCTGTCAATTGCACTAATATGAGTTTGAAAAGCTCCTCTATTGGAACTTTTTTCGATACACAAACCCACAACTTTTTGTCAAAGTGCCCATCAATTTGGTGATTGTTGTATATCGATTTAGCCAAAGTTGTTTTGCCTAAACCTCCCATACCAACTATGGGAAGAGCAGAAACAACCTTCTCAGACAGGCTCAACAAAATCTTCACTATCTCTGATTCATCATCGGCTCTTCCAACCATTGGAGCAACAACAGAGTCGGTCTGCCGACCTCTCGTGTCTCCAACAGCAGGAGCAGCCTACTGACCAGTCCCAATCCTTGGGCATCTTGATAGATGCCATTCAACTTAAGTTTGATGTCCCTGACCTTAGAAGCCATTCTCCAACGTAAAGCAAGATTAATGTTAGAGAAGGAGAAGAAGCAGCATACCTTGAGCTTGTGTCGGTTTCGGGACTCCACCTGGTGACGAAGAGATTCATAGTGGAGCTCATCCAACACATTGTCAGCATCATAAGCAACCTCCTCGAGACTCTTCAACCATTCTTGCACTGCTCCATCCTGGTTTTGCTTTGCTTCAGCATCGGCCAAGACACCCTTGATCAGGCGGAGAGAACGTGTCATGCTGGCCACATCCTTCTTGAACCCAACTAGCAAACCAATCCTATCAGAGGCAAGAGACAGTGCCCTTTCCAAGGTGACCTGACTTGCGGCACCGATAACAGGGTCAGCCATTTTTGCTGCCTTGGATTCAGTGTTGAGAACAAGATGGTTTTTTTTTTTTATGGGAGGTTTTTTTGCAGCGAGGAACAGGTAATCTTATCTAGGCTTAGTACAATTGGTTACGAAGAAAGGAGCATTAATAATTTTTCCGCGTAGACGTGGAGTTCTTCTCTGACAAATTTGTAAGCTTTTGCATTGGCGTGTTTACAGAGTAACTTTCTCAATTATTGTAGTTGTTGGGGCATCATGTTTTCTGATTAAAAGGTGGGGCCTTCAGAATTTTTGGTTGTGGACCATATTTGTTTTTGTCCACGATCAAATCGTAAAAAGGAGAGTGAGATTCTGTTTTGGTTACATGCATGTCATTTTGTTAATCCTTGGAAAATGAATTTGGTCTGAATTTTGTTCGGTTTTGGGAAGCAATAATTAATGTTCTCTGTTTTCGCACTAGCCATGATGCATTTTGCTTCTTTGCTTAGTAATCAGGCTTGAGATTTTAAATTACCTTTTGTACTTTAGCGTTTCGAGTATATAACATGATCGGTATGAAATCCCTAGTCTTCTACTCGCAACGGATCTTCTCTCCCACACTCTATGCCACTTTCTATCTCACTTTTTATTATATTACTATTTCTCCTACATAAACATCATGTTTTAGTTCTTTTTTTGTTTCCTTAATATCCAATAACTATTAATTGAGTAATACACAAAATTTAACAAACTCAAAAAATTAAAATGCATAAAAAATGAGATTTTTTATGAATTTTCTGCTATATTTTTTAATTTTTTATTATATATTGTTTTTTTGAAACTGCTGTATTTATTTTTCACTCAATTAATAGTTATTGGATTTTAAGGAAACATAAAAGAACTAAAACATGATATTTATATAGGAGAAATAACAATATAATAAAAAGTGGACAGAGAGTGGCATAGAGTGTGGGACAGAAGATCCGTTGCGCCTTCTACTCCTCTCTTTAAAATCTGATAGTCTTTAATTCAGATCGGTATTAATCTTTTTTGTTATATTATTTCTTATTACTTTCTTTTTCTAGTTGATTTTGGATCTTTTTTTTTTATTACTTTTCTAACTTTTTCTCCTCAAACTGGATGTCTCTCAATCTCTCTTGTGGGAATTCAACATACTTTAAGATGAATTTCATTTTGGCCATTATCAAGTTTGCACTTAAAGAATTAAAGTTCATATGGGGTTAAGTCATACTAATTTCATATCTTTGACATTTATTTATCACAAACCTCAATTCTTCTTTCCTCTGGTGTTTCTTTTTGGTTTCACTGAGCCAAAGCTCAGTTGGCCCAGTGGTTGCAACTTGCAACGGCAGTTGCTTGGCATTTTCGATTCACCTTCCTTTGTAGTGTAGTAGTTGCCGGGATTCTTCAGCTGCCTTTGATCCACATTCCACATGCTTGGGGGGGCCATCGGATGTGGAAAATTCCACCCAAGAGTTGAATGATGAAGAAAAGAAAATGGCAATCATCATTGAGACTCTAATAATTGCCATGGAGAAGTTTGCTTGGTAATTTCACTTGGCCTTTATTGATCAATGCTTAGCTAGGTATTTCATCTTTTTCGATTGAAAGCTGGCCGGGGCCTTTGGCTGTGGAAAATATCTCAATGGTTTGTCGGAGTTGTGGTTTGACCCAAGACTGACCCCAGCAAACAAAAAAAAAAAAAAAAAAAAAAACCTATGTTCAACGATCAAAATGTAAAGGAGAAAGAGCAAAAGACAACCATAGCTGGTGACTTTGCAACATTAATTACCTCAGCCATTAATCCTTGGGAAATAGACTAAAAACGTTATTTTGCCGGGGGAAAAACTTAAAAAATAATCCGTGGTTCACTTATCAAAAACATGAAGTGGAGTTAGCAATCAGGTTTGGCATGTAGCGACATAATTGGCCAATGGTTGGGTGCTTTCTTAGCTTTTACACTTGTGAAATTGCCAAAACAGTCGCTCGTAATTCCACAAGCTTTCTAGCACTTTAAAAATTCAAACATTTTGTTTCAAAATATCTTGTTTATGTACAGCATACCAAATTTAAGTGGTGAAAGTTTAAGGAGTTTCTTTATTACTATTTTTTTTTTGAAGTACAGTATACAATCAACTGGAGTTAGAAGTGAAATAGACCTTTAGCTCATACTATGATTATAAACTTTGACTGAATTGGATGTTTTGGGAAGGGAAAAATGAGCATGTTCTTGCGGATTTCAATTTTTACAATTGAATTATTTGCCTATGATATGATCACAAGTTTAACTTAAATGGAGTTGTGATAATAGAAGATTCTCGAAAGAAGACTTCAAAAGGTGGAAATTGAAAATGAGTGGAAATTAATGGGGAATTAACCAGTTATTTGGATACTTGAATTAAATACTTGAATTATTTGTTCTTATGGTTCCTCTCTCTTCTAACAATATGATTAATTTGTATAAATTTTTTTTATCCATATGGATTAACTTAGTGTTAAAAAAAATTTAACTGTTAGTTGATAGATTTATCAATATTGCTGGAAATTAAATATTTGTTGATGTAGAAAACAAATCGCAAAATCTTTTGTACTTAGTTAAGTAGGAAAATGTAACAAGTTTTTGGTTATTATAAAAATTGTAATTATCTAAAAAATATCCGTACACAAACAGGTAGAATATCTATTGATTTTTTTATATGTGTTATAATATTTGATGAATATTATTATATTATAGTAAAAGTATGTAAAGAAGTTTTTAAAAATTAGTATGATAGTTAAGTATAATTATTACATTAATTTTCTAAACTTAATATAAATGAACTTGTAAGATCATCATTAATTTTTTATTTAAATTATTCATGCTTGCACGAATTCATAGTAAAGTAAAAAAATAAACCATGCCAAGGCACATGCAAGATACTAGTTCAAATTAATGTTGTACGCGTATAGGAGTCACAAAACGATTTGGTGCACTAGCAGACGAAAGGGGACATCTAAAGTATTAGGACAAGTTTTACATCTAGCAGACGAATTCAATCGATTGTGATGTATTTGCTGATTTTCTTGAAATAAAAAATGCATAGGAAAAAAATATTAGAGAGTTATCCTTTGCATGGAGTTCATATCGTTACTACTTTTGCTACGTGGAATACCAACTTGTCTGATGGATGTCTGCTTGAAATATGCGTTCCACATATTTTGTATGTTTATCCTAATAAATCATCTTATATTGTGCTAATATTTCAAACAGGTTTTGGAATTTTGCTGCAAGTTTATCTTCTCAAAAGAAAGTCAATCGATTTGATTTGCGTCAAAAAATGCTTTGCTGATGCCTTCAGTTGTGGAAAAAAACTCTCTGACCCAAGACGCACAAGAAACTGTTGTCTTTAAGGATAAAAATGTACCCAAAAAATAATAATAAATAAAAAGAAAATGACAATCTACTTTGGCTACATTGTTCACCCAATTTCCAGTTCTTTAGAAATAAAATAGACGTTCAACGCCCATTTTCTAATTCGATTCAGTTCTGTGACCCCTTTTTTTTAATTCTCTATTTTCTATAATTCTCAATTCTTTATTTTGCACTATTTTGTTGGGTGAGCAATTAACAGGCACGTGAAATAGTGGCTCAATGGGGGAAGAAAAAACGAGGGCTATTCCTTTTTTTTTTTTGGATTGCGTGATCAATTAACAGGAAACGACGTAAGCAAAACAATTCTTCATGTTCAGGCCCTTGATTTTCCTTTGTGAATAATGAACTGAAAAAAGAAACTTAAAAATACTGGTTCAATTGAATCTTAAAATTAATGCAAAACATGGACAAGAATGCTGTAGTGTCTAAAGTACAATCTTGATTTAGTACAAGACCTCTGAAACTTGAATACATATAATGTTCCAGTTCCCCAATTTTAAAACCTCTCAAGCCTGGCCAGATTCTTCAATGCTCGATTCTCAATTAATGGCTTCATGTATTTTCCGTTATGAATGTGACAAAGTCTCCATTCTGGAGCTCATTTCCAGTTGTCTCGGATTTGGTATCACTTGAAACTGGTTCTGTATCAGGGAATGG